CGGTCCATGAAGGTGACAGGAGATGTGACAACGGTGGTAGAGGTCACAGTGCTGTGATTTCTAGTTTTGAAGATGGAAGAGGTCCATGAGCCAAGGGATGCAGCAGCCTCTAGAAGCTGGGGAAGCTCAGCGTTTCACTCAGTCTCCCCTAGAGCCTATAGAAGGAACACAGCCCTGCCAACACCTTTGTGTTAGTGCACTGAGACTTATGAGCTCCCAAACTGTAGGATAATAAAGTAATATTGTTTAAGCCACCATTTTTGTGGTAATTTGTTACAGCAGCAGGAGGAAACTAACACAGTAGGACACAAGTCTGAGGCTCCTGGTGGCCATCTTTGCCATCACGTGGGCCTGAGCTTGCTTCAGAGTAAAGCCAATACAAACAAGAGCTAAACGATGGAGACATGCTGTGGTGATATGATTTGAGCATTTAGTCCAGTCCTTCCTAAAGTAGTTAACCCAGATTTTTCAGTTTTATTAGCCAACAGATTTTTGTTTGGTTTTGTTTTGCTTCAGTTACTTTGATCTGGGCTCTCTCTTACTTGCATACTATTCTATGTACAAGCATCTTTCTAAAATTACAGTTTTACTTATAGCTCCAGTTTGGAAACAATGTACTTATCATGCTTACTGTATTTGTTGATTTACTCGATCAATAACTCAAGTTAAGCCAGGCGCAGAGGCTCATGCCTGCAAACCCAGCACTTTAGGAGGTCGAGGTAGGCGGATCAATTGAGGTCAGCAGTTTGAGACCAGCCTGGCCAACACAAGGAAACCCCCACTAAAAATTCAAAAATTAGCTGTGCAGGGTGGTACGCACCTGTAATCCCTGCTACTTGGGAGGCTGAGGCAGGAGAATTGCCTGAACCTGGGAGGCAGAGGTTGCAGTGAGCTAAGATTGCACCACTGCACTCCAGCCTGGGTGACACAGTGAGACTCCATCTGAAAAAAACAAAACAAAACAAAAAAAACAAAAAAACCCCTCAAGTTATTGAGTAAAATGAAGTATATTTCAAAAATATAATATAGCCATGGAAAACTCATGCTATAGAAAAACTGCTTGTTTATATGGGAACATTTTCACAATATATTAGTTTTTCACTGAAGCAAAAAAATGGAAAAGCAGATTTCATAGAAACACCCAACCATATACAAAAAAGTTTAAAAAGTTACAAAGGAAGGATTTTCCTATGATAACTTGGAAATTTGGATAACTTGGGAAGGTTAGAAATTTCTTCTGAACTCTTGTATTCTTCATAGAGTTATACAAAATGACATTTGAAACATTTATTAATGCCCCTGCCAAAGACTGCATTTTAAACCTAAATGCTATTGAAAAATGCACTGAAGAAGTTTAAAATATTGTGTAATCCCAAGTCAAATAATTACAAACTAATGTTAAAAAGGCACAAATTTCCTATGTAAACAATAATGGTAATAGTGTCATTTTTACATTTAACTTCTATTAATAAAGATAATTGAAATAAGTCTCATCTTGCAATTACTACTCTAGAAAAAGTGGGGACTACAAGTGCATGTATGGCATACAGCACTGTCTTCATGAATTTCTTTCTTATGTTCTATGTGTCTGTTACATTAATAAGACTGAGATGCTATAGCAGTTTGCCACCCTTTGGGAAGGCAAAAAGTCCAGTGGTTAAGGTGTCATACATTGTGTGATTCTAGGCATTTTGGCCTCTTTGAACTTATATTAATTCTTCACATAATATTAGAATATCAATAGTAGCTACAGCATGGATTTGTTGGGACTACTAAATGATATAAAGCATGTCATGCACCTCTCAGAATATGGGGTGCATATAGATACTCAATAATTGTTAGCTACTACTAATATTTTTATTATCAGCATGATACTGTTGTTACTATTAATTTTTGACATGCCATACAGTCCTGTGAGTTAGCTCAGAATTCTGAGTTGACACAACTATAGAGGAGATAGCAAAATAGAAAATTTATCCATTTTTACTCTACAATGTTTAATGAGGAAAATGCCCATCAATTAATTACCTTCATTCAAAAAACTTTAAAAAATCATTTCTGAGAATTAAAGATTGTTGTAAGCACAGTTGCTATTGAAATGAGTAAAACTATGTCCTTGGTAACTAACAGTTTGCATTTTAGTGAGGAGACAGTGAAAAATACCTATAAACACCATAAAGTGTTAGATTTGCCACATTAGAAATATGCTTAGGGTTTCAGTTAGGAGATAAAGGAGAAAGTGATCAGTTCTACCAGTGCAAGAGGGTCAGGACAAGGATTCAGAGAAGAGAGGAGGCTTGCGAACCTTTCAAATAATAGGCAAGTGGTTAGTTGGGGATGGGCATTCCATGCTGAGGGGACAATGCTGGCAAAGGCATAGATGTAGGAAACAATTTCATTTGCTGAGAGGTTGAGCGTGTATGGTGTTGGGAGATGGGAATATAGCAACAAATGAGGCAAAGTTGCTAAGCAGGGGACAGCCTAATTAATCCATGAATAGATGACCCTGACCATTTACCCTATCAGGCATAGTAAGTGCTGGAAATACAGTGGTGGCCTCTGCTTTGACGGACCTATATTCTAAATAATCAGGGCCTTTCTGTGGGAAATGAGGCGTTATTGAGGCAGAGGTATGTGTACATGATCTGATTTTTATTATAGGATGCTCACTCAGGCAGCTATGTGAAGCAATGTTTGAAGGGTGTATTTTAGTCTGTTTTCATGCTGCTGATAAAGACATACCCAAGACTGGGAAGAAAAAGAGGTTTAATTGGATTTACAGTTACACATGGCTGGGGAGGCCTCAGAATCATGGTGGGAGGTGAAAGGCATTTCTTACATGGTGGTGGCAAGAGAAAAATGAGGAAGAAGCAAAAGCAGAAACCCCTGATAAACCCATCAGATCTTGTGAGACTTAATTCACTATCACGAGAATAGCATGGGAAAGAACAGCCCCCATGTTTCAATTACCTCCCCCTGGTTCCCTCCCACAACATGTGGGAATTCTGGGAGATACAATTCAAGTTGAGATTTGAGTGGGGACACAGCTAAACCAAATTAAAAGGGGACGCAATTGAAGGTAGACAGAGTAGATGAATGATTATTTATTAATTCAAATGAGAGGAGCTGCATGAAAGCACTAGAAGCAAGGATGGAAAGAAATGAGTTTAGATATGAAACTTGGTAACTAGCCTGAATCTAAGTCTGCGTGACTGATGGGCCTCAGGGGTAAAAGGGAGGGCAAAACCTGAATAGCCTGAAGGTGTCTTCCTTGTGTGAGAGAAAGGTTTTATTTTGATTGGTGCCTACCCTACTTTTCCAGACAAGTAGAAGCCTGGGTGCCGAGCTGGGCTAGGGTGTGGCGTTACAGAAGCTGTTGTGTTTGGGAAATGACTCAGCAATCTGAATTATGATTCCGCAGTTTGGTCTCGGCCTCCCCTTAGCCTCTCCCACATCCAGTCGCTCTCACCACTCATTCCAAACAGACCCCCAACCTAAACTCTGCAGCCTGCTTATTGAACTTAATTATTTCAGCAGTTTGTCATTCCAAACTGCCTCTCACCACCCACAGTGAGCAGATGGAATAAAATGCTCCACAAGAGGCTTAATAGTGAAGGAGATGTATTGGGGGAATTGTGGGCATAAAAAGAAATGTTGGCATTATTTTTTTCATTTATTTTAATTTTTCCCTTAGCATAAGGGAGAATCCTCTCACGGTCCAGGCATCTCCCAATTCTGAGAATTCTCCCAAGTCTCAGAAGACATAGGTGTGGTGACTTGGACCATGGCACCTGCTTGGCCTTACTGTTAGACCAGGTTTATCTAAATTGTCACCACCTGCTAGGCTGCCTTACCAGAAGCAATTATAGCATTACCAGAAGTTAACTTCCTTTTTTATTTTTATTTTTTAATTTTTTTTAGCATTTGCTGGTGAGTACTAGCAGTACATGAAATCTTACTTGACAATTGTTTGCTTTCTTTCCTTACTTTCTTATGTCAAGACAAATGATGCTTTAAAGAATGTTAAGAAATACAGGATGAAGCCAGGTTAAAGTCAGAAAGAATGATGGATGGATGGGAAACAGTGAGTCTGACATGATGTAGTGGTTTTTTTGCACCATTTTATAATTAGAAAGTAATAAGGTATGCATAAAAATCTGATAGCCCAGGCTGGAAAGTTGAGAGTGAAGAAATTCCCCAAACTGGAAACACAGGAATAGCAAACTTTTATTGTGTTCCTGAATCTTGAGCAAGGCTGAGGAGGAAAAAAAGAAGAAAAAATAAAGGCTTGTGGAGATGGTAAGAAATTCAGTTTTGGAGAGAGATATATATATATATATATATATTTTTTTTTTTTTTTTTTGAGACGGAGTCTCTCTCTGTCGCCCAGGCTGGAGTGCAGTGGCCAGATCTCAGCTCACTACAAGCTCCGCCTCCTGGGTTTACGCCATTCTCCTGCCTCAGCCTCCCGAGTAGCTGGGACTACAGGCGCCCGCAACCACGCCCGGCTAGTTTTTTGTATTTTTTAGTAGAGACGGGGTTTCACTGTGTTAGCCAGGATGGTCTTGATCTCCTCACCTCATGATCCGCCCGTCTCGGCCTCCCAAAGTGCTGGGATTACAGGCTTGAGCCACCGCGCCTGGCCTTTTGGATATATTGACTTTGATATGATCATGGGATGTACAGACAGATAGTAATTAAAATAATAAAGCAAAAATACATAATTCTAAAAGAATAGAGCTTTAGGTCAAGCTCTAAGATTCTCTGGATAGCAGTGATGCTTAGAATATGTTATCTGACCTATGTAACACACGGGCTTGTGCAGGTTTAATGAATTAACACGTGAAGGTATTTTGAAAATCTATAAAGCATGTGTGGATTCATTATTTTATTACTATTTCAAAAATTACAGCTGATAGACATCCCCTCTGTGTTTTCTATAGTCAGATACATTTTTTTTTCCTTTAGTGAAGACAATGATTTCCTCTTTGTGTTCCTATAACCCTGAACACTTCCCCCTGACCTTTACACAGATGCTGAGGTCTGAGGTTTCTGTAAGCCTCTCCCTGTTGCTTATTTCACTGTGCGCTCCTATAAGCACAGAAATACATCGCGGCGTCCCCCAGCTGTGAGTCTGAGATCTTGAGACTGAAGGATTTGGTTGCTTTCTGAAAGTTCACAGAGAAGCGGTTCTCCGTTGCATTCTGTTGCTTATAAGCTTCTTGGCGAATAATGAGAATCATCTGCCTGCTGGGAGGCTGCTTGTACCAGAACAAATAATAATCACTGTCACTGGTGTCGTATGTGCAGCTCAGAGTCACGGTCTCTGCCTCCTGCACAGACATCTCTGGTTGAGACTGAGTGACTGTCTGAGCCATGCCGGATTCTGTGGGAAAGAGGAGAGAAAGGACTTCACTGGGATATCATGTGGAAGAGAGAAACAGACTCACAAGCCTGTTCCCATTGCAACCCAGCTTTCTTCCTCTTGATCCAAACCTCTGACAAAATCCATCAACTTTCTTGCCTCTAATATCTGGGCCCAATGAGGAGATTAGATTCCTGCACAATTAATCTTTCTTCCCACTTCTCTGTTCTATTGAATACTAGTTAAGGTAAATACATGTGCCTTCCTTACCAAGACAGGTGGAGATCACAAGTGCCCACAGGAAGCCAGGGCATGCCATGCTCACAGGTCCCTACTGCCGGGTGAGAAGCCTCCTCTTCTGATCTGAACCTTGAGTATCAGCTGTACTGGTGCTGTAGCTGCTTTAGAACAGGAAATGGGATGTCAGGTGGGCTGTTTATGATGTCTCCCTTAGGGAAAGCTCCTTGACACTTTTTGTCTTTTGCTTCAGAAAATAAAACTTGGACTATAATGTTTAATGAAAAAAAGATGTTGTCGGAACTGTAATTTATTTGGGAATAAAAATGAAGAGGAAAGGGAGCTGATAAATTGTTTTTTAAAGACATAATTTGGAAAGGAGAATGAGATGGATGGGGAAAAGACAGGCCAAGCTGATGTTGTGACTTCAGTTTTCTCTATAAGCTTTTGTTGTCTTTCCACTTTCTCTCTCTCTCTTTCCTTCCCGTCTACCCTTTCTCCTTCCCTTCCCCTTACTCCTCCTTTTTCCTTTATTTTCCTTCCTTCTTTCCTTTTTTTCTCTCCCTTCTCTGTCTTGAAGCCAATATCAGAAAATTATTTCTGGGTTATGATAACACAGGTATTGGTTATGTAATTGTTTGACCAAACTGTATTTTAATACTTTGAGAAATGATGAAAAATAATGACAACAACAATAACATTCAGATAGTCTAGAGAAAATTGAAACCAGAATTTTGATATCTAATTATACTGTAATTTGCTGAAGACTTTCTTTTTTAAAAAAAGAATATCTGATTTTGGCTGTGTCAAGAAGCTCTACAATACTGGTGGCAAGGGCTTTTGTGTGCTTCTGTTAATGACTTTGTGAAGGAAGACTCAGAACAATTAACATAAAATTCATTTGGGAACATTCCGTGTTGCACATCTGACAGCTTTTCATTGGCACCTGATTTTTCCTCATGCACACATTCTTCTTTGAGGGAGGAAAGGTCAGGAATTAGTCTTCATTTTGTAGAAGAGACAACAGAGCAAAAATGAAAACTCACAATACAGAGAACTACTAGTTTCATTTGCATTAATTCTCTCTCCCTATTGAATTTGTGCCATCCAATCTTAGATAAGACTTCTCTATAGTTCAGCTTTATGTAAACTTTTCCCCCTGTAAAACAAGAAGGAGACTAAAAGACTAAATTAAAAGCTGTATAGGGAGCGGTGGTCTTAACTCTCCCTTCCCATTTATTATTTCCACTTGGAAATGGTATTAACAGCGGGCATTCTGCCACAGATGTTCTTAACTCCAGAGGACTTCTTAAAGTACAGCATGTCGAGTTCTTCTGCAGTGGTCTCTTGTTTGCTTGGTGTTAAATTTCTGCACTACCTACTATTTTCTGGACAAATTCACAGGAAATTGGTAAATATGCTATTACTTTACAATTTACCCCCTTCTCCTCTCTGGTCCTTTTTGTTTTTCCTTTTGAGACAGGGTCTCACTCTGTCGCCCAGGCTGGAGTGCAGTGGCACAACTATGTAGCCTCAACCTCCTGGGCTCAAGTGATGCTCCCACCACAGCCTTCCAAGTAGCTGGGACTACAGGCATGTGCCACCACTCTCTAGTCTGTATAGGAAACTCTAGATGATTGAGCTGTCTTCTCTCCCAGTCTCAGGTCAGCTGCAGCTATGAGTTCACTAATTAGGGTCTCAAGAGTGAATGTTTTCTGCCTCTTGCCTGGGCTCACTGGGCCTGCAATTGCAATGCTGACTGGGGACTCCAATGCTGCAATGGATCTTGCCATTTCAGGTGAGATTGGGCATATTCAGGGTGGTGTGGCCACTTTAGACAAGATCTATCTTTTTTTGTGACCCTCTAGGGCCTATGCAATCAGAACTTTAGTATCTTGTATTTATCATCCAATCAGTTCCCAGCTTCCACAGTTAATCAAGTTATTGAACATTGAAGACCAAATAAAGCGATGTATATAAAAGAACTTGTAAGTGGGCAAATATGGGTGGGGTGGGCAGAAGGCTGCCTGTTTGTGGAAGCAGAACCCCTTCTGGGCAGTCTGGGAAATTCTACTGTGCTTCCTTGGGATATCAACCCTACTAGAGTTAGCTAGTTAGACTATAAACAGTAAAAACTAGGAGAAAAATATGTGAGTATCACACACCTACTCTCACGTTCTCATGGGAGAATTGTTACAGATTCAAAAACCGAGGCACATCAGCAATTAATGGCACAAGTGGGAGAAGCCGCTCCAATTATTGAGACAGCCCCTCTTAGATGAGTGGATCTTGATGAAAGAACACTCAGGGTGCCCAGTCCTAATCACCTCAGACAGCTTATGGTCAGGGTTCTTGTGACTGTGAATTCCTTATCTGAAAATACAGTGAACAAAAAATGTTTTAAAAGTCTTTTAAACAAGATTTTCTCTGATTTGTTATATTCATTTACAATATTCGTTTGGTCAGAGGAAGTGATGAAGATGGTTTACTAACCCCTGAGTGGAGATCCCAATGCAGGGTGGAGGGGGTGGTGCATTTAGGTGCTTTCAGGGGCATGTAGGTTCCCTGCAGCACAGAAGTAGATGGCTAAGTCCCTCGACTGGGTGGTCTTGTGGTTCAGGGAGAGGTGGAGCTGGTACTAGCACTGAAGGAGGCTGCTTATCTTCCCCTGCACTACAAAACCCTAGTTAACAAGAACAGAAACAAAGGCATTAGACTTGTTCTAGATCTTTTTCATTCTATACCCATGGATCTGAAACACTGTTCAGATAATTATAGTAGATGATAAAACATCTTTCCTTCGTGGATGGGGTGATAGTTAATTTTAGGTGTCAACTTGACAGAATTAAGGAATACCTAGAGAACTGGTAAAGCATTATTTTTGGGTATGTTTGTGAGGGTGTTTCCAGAGGACATTAGCTTGTGAGTCTTAATGGAATATGTGGGTAAGATCCATCTTCAGTGTGGGCCTCCAGTCTGCTAGGGCCCTGAGTAGAACAGAAACCTAGGAAAAGCCACTTGTTCTCTCTCTTCCCTGGAGCTGGGACACACTCTTTTTCTCTCACCCTTAGACACAAGAACTCTGGGATCTGTGGCCTATGGACTCCAGGATTTATGCCAGTGGCCCCCTGGGTTCTCAGGCTTTTGGATTTGGGCTAGCCACACTACTGCCAGCATCCCAGGTTCTCTAGTTTGCAGACAGTTTGTCACGGGACTTCTCAGCCTCCATAATTGCATGAGCCAATTCTTCTAATAAATCCCCTCTCATATATCTATATATTCATCCTATTGGTTCTGTCTCTCTGGAGAACAGAGACTGGTTCTGTCTTTCTGGACAGTTGGTCAGGAAGAGCTTTCCTCTTTCTTGATAGCAAATTTTCTTAAAAAGATGAATTAAGGGTAAGTTAAATAAAAGGTGAATTAAATATTTTATTTACTTTTTGGATCCCTTCTGTAAAATGTAGAGACTAGTTCTCAGAACCTTCTGAGTCCTCTGTGTTCTTGATGACACGAATTCACTCAGCTCTCATCCAGGCCAAAGCCACCGGATCACAAATACAGTTCCTGAAAGCTCCTCCATGGTTTGACCTTTCTAAACTGGTGGAAAATTTGATTCCAGGATGTGGAAATCTGACCTAGTCTCTACAGATAACATAGGATTTGTTCTAGTTATTTCGTATGTATTAGGAATAGTAGATTCTTCAAAATGAGATCGGTTTTTTGTAAATAACTGCTATAAACAGCAGCAAACAGTGCCCTCTTCAGGTCAAAGAGATAATTACAGAGGCAGTTTCTAGGACTTCTCTGTGTGGAAAGAACTTGGTTTAGTAAGAAATGTATTCTAGAAGTAATCTTTTTACGAGTTTCAGATTTATGTTTCCACTAAATCAAAATACTTGGATGTTTAAATTGTATCTGTCCTTTCCTTTATCACTGCTTTCTTAAATTCTACCTTCTATCACATCTTACATCCTCAGAGAAACCTTTTGCCTTGATATTCTTTCAGAAATATAGCATGATTATAATTTAAACTTTAAGCATAATATTTGTTCTTATCAGCACTTATTATGTGCTTAATACTGTGCTAAGAGCAGTGAGGAATTATGAAGGGTACAAGGCAAACTCTATCTGCATAGAGAATATAATGTATTTGGGGAGGAAAGATGAGTACCTTGAAACAACAGCAAATGCCTCAAGAAGGTATGTCAGTAAGAGTTGGATTGTTTGGTTCACAGTTGGTACTGTATGACATTTGGAAGAGAAGGAATTAAAGGATTCTTTGATTATTGGAGAAGAAATCTTGGAGGGAAGAGAGATTTCTAATGGTGGTTGTAAGATTCATAAGGTTTAAGCAGTCAGAAATATACATAAAAGAGAAATTTGGGTGGGTGGAACAACCAGTAGAGAAATGCTGGAGGTAGCAATGAGCTTTAAGTGCTTATGAACCAGTAAGGGTAATAAACTGACTAGAAGAGAGACATATTTTGGGAATAACTAGGAATGAAGTTTAAATAGTAAAGGGTCAGAAAATTTGGGGAGGGGAAATGAAAGAGTTGAAAGAGCTAAAACTTGGAAAGTAAAGTTTTTGAACACTGAAAAGACATAATCACATATCTGCAGAGATGGGAGTTTAGCAAATGCGATTTGCCTCATCATCTTTTGAAAAAAATGTGACATCTATCTTTTACAATTACTCACTCAAGCACTCACTTGCCTTTATTAGCTCAGCCCAGTAAGGTTCACCTTGAACTCTCCTCTGTTCTTTCTTTGTTAAATTTTCAAAGAATCTTTGGATTTCCAAAGATTCCTTGTATTAGTTTGATTTCCCCCCAAAACAGAGCCTGAAACTACCTTGGGTGAAGGTAGTTTATTTAGGAAGTGATCTCAGGAAGCAGGATTGAGAAAATGGGTAAAGCAGGATGCCTACTCTCACCACTTTTATTCAAAATAGTGCTGGAACTCCTAGCCAAAGCAACTGGCAAGAGAAAGAAATAAAAGGCATCCAAACTGGAAAAGAAAAAGTCAAATTATCTGTTTGCTGATGATATGTCTTATACCTAGAAAACCCTCAAGGCTCCTCCAAAAGACTCCCAGATTTGATAAGTGAATTTAGTAAAGTTTCAAGATACAAAATCAATGTACAAAATAAGTAACATTTCTATACATCAGTAACAACCAAGCTGCAAACCAAATTTATAATAGCCACAAAATAAATAATCCCATTTATCATAACCACAAAATAATACCTAGAAATACACTTAAACAAAAAAGTAAAAGATCTCTACTAGAAAAACTACAAAACACTGATGAAAGAAATTGTGGATGACCCAAATAAATGAAAAAACATCTCATGCTTATGAACTGGAAAAAGCAATATTATTAAAATGACCATATTGCCTAAAGCCGTATGTAGATTCCATGCAATTCCTATCAAAATACCAACATTATTTTTCACAGAATTAGGAAAAAATGCTAAAATTAATATGAAACAAAAAAAGAGCCTGAATGCCAAAGCAATCCTAAGCAAAAAGAAAAATCTTGATGCATCATATCACCTGACTTGAAATGATACTACAAGGCTATAGTACCAATATAGCATCGTATTTGTATTAAAAATAGACTCACAGATGAATGGAACAGATTATGGAATCCAGAAATAAAGCCACATACCTACAACTAACTCATCTTTGACAAAGTAGACAAAGACATACACTGGGGAAAGGACACCCTATTCAATAAATAGTGCTGGGAAAATTAGCCACACACAGAAGAATGAAACTGGATCTGTTTCTCTTACTATGTACAAAAAGTAAGTCAAGATGGATTAAAGGTTGAAATAGAAAACCTGAAACTATAAAAATTCTGTAAGAGAACCTAGGAAAAACTCCTCTGGATCTTGGCTTAGGCAAAGAATTTCCGACTGAGAACTTAAAACAAATGCAGCAAAACAAAAAACAGACTAATGGGACTTAAACTAAATAGCTTCTGCACCACAAAATATATAATCAACAGAGTAAATAGACAACCTACAGAATGAGAGAAAATATTTGCAAACCATGCATCCAACAAAGGACTAATATCCAGAATCTACAAGGAACTCACACAACTCAACAAGCAAGAAACAAATAAGCCCATTGAAAAGTGTGCAAAGGACATGAACAGACTTTTCTCAAAAGAAGACACACAAATGGTCAGCAAGCATGAGAAAATGCTCAACACCAGGAATCATCAGATAAATGCAAATTAAAACCACAAAGAGATACCATCTCACATCAGTTAGAATGGCTATCATTAGGAAGTCAGAAAACAACAGATGTTTGGTAAGCATGCAGAGAAAAGGGAACACTTATTCACTGTTGGTGGGAATGTACATCAGTACAACCTCTATGGAAAGCAGTATGGGGATTTCTCAAAGAACTAAAAATAAAACTACTCTTCAACCCAGCATTTCACTACTGGGTATCTACCCCTCCCCCAAAGAAATTATTATATCAAAAATATAACTTCACTGTTATGTTGATCACACCACTATTCACAACAGAAACGATATGGAATCAACCTAAGTGTCCATCAATGGATGATTAAATAAAGGAAATGTCACACACACACACCATGGAATTCTACTCAGCCATAAAAAGAATAAAATCATGTCTTTTATGGCAACATGGATGGAACTGGAGGCCATTATCTTAAGTGAAGTAACTCAGAAACAGAAATTTAAATACTACATATTCTTACTTATAAATGGGAGCTAAATAATGCATAGACATGGACAAAGATAACAGACATTGGAGACTCGAAAGGGTGGGAGTGTGGGAGGAGAATGAGGAATGAGAAAGCACCTATTGAGTACCATGTACACTATTCAGGTGATGGTTACACTGAAACCCCATACTTCACCACTGCACAATGTATCCATGTATCATAAGTGGCACTTGTACTCCCTTGATCTATAAAAATAAGCTATAAAAGAAGAAAGTGGGTCGAGCAATACCTGACTCAAGTGGGACTTGGTTCTGATAGGATCTCCCAAGAAGCATACAGGTTGCCTCTCAGAATTGTCTCCTTAAAGAACACAAAGCTAGTGAGTTTATCTCCTGGCTGTTTTTCCCCATTGGTTGGTGTTTGCCAACAGGGGTGGTAGTGTCCCTATAATTTCAGGCTGTGCTTGCCCTTAAACTAAGAGATCTCCTGAGACATTAGAGAAGGCCTTGGGGTAGAAAGCAACAAAAAAAACAAAACAAAACAAAAGAGAGTGTGCTTAATGCTGGATGTTACCAGCATGAGGTGAGTGTGATTGTCTACCACAACTCTAGCTAAAATCAGAGAGACATTTGGATGGGACAACAAGGCACATAAGTTACAGTCCTTTCTTTGCACTGCTCAGATGCATGCTTGCCCTACATTATTTCCATTGTGTCACTGTGTCTTCAAGGTTGCCTCTGACTGCAATCTCTTTAATGCCCTTAATACAGGAAGGTTGCATGACGTGAGCTTCTGTTCTTTAAAACTTCATTGCTGAAGAGTCTCAGTTCTTGGTCACGTTGCCCTTTTCAGGTCTTGTTGCTACAAGAACTGTTGCTTGCTGCTTGTATTGGGCATGGAAACATCAGCAGACACCAGTGTGAAATATTTACATTATAGCCACATTCCTCCTCACCCTCCTTGAGTCACAACAACCTGGTGCTTCATGATAATCAGGGTCAATTACCCCTTCCAATCTAATAGCTCCTCTCTTTGCCTGCTGGGCTATTGGCACAGAGAGTTCAGAGTGACCTAAACGTGGCAGCCATAGCTGCAGGTTACTAAATCCCTGAAGGGAGCATCCTTCCTTGGGAACTAGGACCTCTGATCTAGGAGAACCTAGGGTTGTGGGAAAGGGAAACACAAATTCTGAAAATGAGTTATAGGGAGTGATATGAGAAGACTCTATTCTATGTCTATTTCTTGGTTTCTAAACTTTTGCCACAACACCACGTATCAGCCAGTGGTTTAACGAATATTATCATTTTCTGAAGCGTAGCATTCCAATCACTAACGTGTTGCCCATGAGCTGGCCCTTCAGCGGAGCATTTTAAAGCCTTTTCGTCATTCTTCTAGGTTCTACTGCAGGTGGACCTAGGTCATCTCTTAAGTCTGTGGTGGGCCCAGCTGGTCCCCTTCCTGATTATGCCACCATTGTCACACCCGTTGTGTTCTAAAATGGGTACCTTGTTCTGAGGAGATGCAGCTTTGGATTAGATGGACAAATAAAAGAACAAGCAACAATTAACCAATGGAAAAGACTTAAAATTCCTGGAGGTAAGAGTGCCCAGGCAAATTATAAAAATTTTCTGGACAGAGAAAATGCTTAGGAAATCTGACCTGTGATAAGTACCTTAGTAAAGGCACTTTGTCAAACTGGAATGCACTGCACACGTCATTATCTGTACTGTTACTTTAAGGATTGAAGCTTGCAGACAGCCATCACTCTGAGTTTCTTATAGGAGAAGAAATAGGGGAAGCTTTTATTTCCAAGAGAAGTCAGTGATTTTCTATACCTATTACCCCACCACTTCCTTCGCACCCTATGACCTTTGCACAGATGCTGAGGTCTGAGGTTTCTGTAAGCCTCTCCCTGCTGCTCATCTCATTGTGTGCTTCATGAAAGCACAGAAATACATCGCGGCGTCCCCCAGCTGTGAGTCTGAGATCTTGAGACTGAAGGATTTGGCTGCTTTCTGGAAGTTCACAGAGAAGCGGTTCTCCGTTGCATTCTGTTGCTTATAAGCTTCTTGGTGAATAATTAGAATCATCTGCCTGCTGGGAGGCTGCTTGTACCAGAACAAATAATAATTACTCTCACTGGTGTCATATGTGCAGCTCAGGGTCACGGTCTCTGCCTCCCGCACAGACATCTCTGGTTGAGACTGAGTGACTGTCTGGGCCATGCCGGATTCTGTGGGAAAGAGGAGAGAAAGGACTTCACTGGGATATCATGTGGAAGAGAGAAACAGACTCACAAGCTGATTGCCATTCCCACACACCTTTCTTTGTGATTCCAGCCTCAGGCAGCATATTTCTGCCTCCAGGTAGCTGGGCTCTAAGAGGCAAGGCAGTTGCTGTTCTGTTAATCCCTTCTGCTTCACAGCCCCATTAGATGCCTTTATAAAGAAAGACCTACATCTTCCAGCCGCGCGCAGTGGCTCAAGCCTGTAATCCCAGCACTTTGGGAGGCCGAGACGGGCGGATCACGAGGTCAGGAGATCGAGACCATCCTGGCTAACACGGTGAAACCCCGTCTCTACTAAAAAATACAAAAAACTAGCCGGGCGAGGTGGTGGGTGCCTGTAGTCCCAGCTACTCGGGAGGCTGAGGCAGGAGAATGGCGTGAACCCGAGAGGAGGAGCTTGCAGTGAGCTGAGATCCGGCCACTGCACTCCAGCCTGGGCAACAGAGCGAGACTCCGTCTCAAAAAAAAAAAGAAAGACCTACATCTTCCTTACCGAGACAGGTGGAGACCACGACTGCCCACAGCAAGCTAACACGTGTCATGCTGGCAGCGCTCCCCTGCAGAGTGAAAAGTCTTCTGCTCTGATCTGGGTTTTCCTCTGTGCTTGGTGAGAATTCTCCTTCAGGGCAGGAAATGCTATGATAGGTGGGTGGGTGACTAGGTTTCAAGGAGGGAAATGTTTCTGAATACTTTTTGGTCTCTCAGAAAATAGGCCTCTGGTTATAATTTCAAATGAAAATAAAAAATGTTTCTGGAGTGCTTTTAGCTAGCTTAGTAGAAAAATAAAGAGAAAATGGAGCTGGCAAATTTGTTTTTAATAAGACCTAAACTTGGAGAGGAGAGCGTGACCCGGAATGATGGGCAGAAACCTCTGACTCCATTCACAACAAATGGCAAACTGTGATTTTATTTTTCTTCTTATTTAAAAAAAAAAATAAAATTTACAAAGCAAATCTTATGAAATATGAACACTTAATTTTGGGTGATAAGAATATGCCTGTTTATATTCAAATTTTTACATTTTTACAATTTCTTAAAATAATGAGAAAAAAGGTATATGCTTGTGGCTGAAAAGAGCATTGAGTAAATTCAGAGATAAGTAAAAGCAGAATGTGTAGCGTCTAATTGTGCTCACATTTTACATGGATTAAAAAAATAACCTTGTTGGCCAGGTGTGGTGGCTCACGCCTGTAATCCCAGCACTTTGGGAGGCTGAGGTGGGTGGATCACTTGAGGTCAGGAGTTTGAGACCATCCTGGGCAACATGGTAAAACTCCATCTCTATTAAAAATACAAAAATTAGCTGGGCATGGTAGTACTTGCCTGTAATCCCAGCTACTTGGGAGGCTGAGGCCAGAAAATCTCTTGAACTCCAGAGGCAAAGGTTGCAGTGAGCTGAGATTGTGCCATTGCACTCCGGCCTGGGCGACAGGAGTGAAGCTCCATCTCAAAAAACAAACAAATGCAAACAAACAAACAAACAAAACCACCTTGTTTATGCTATATCAAGAAGCTCTGAAATAACTATTGGAGAAGTTCTCATCAGCACTAAATTGCCTCAGTTTAATTTGTATTTATATCAAGAATTGCTCTCATCATTTTCATTCCATTATGAAAAAATATTGTGAAAAAACCACTTTTTAAATACCTTACTCTGATTCTTTAGAATTTTGCATTTCCAGAGAGAGTGTTAGGGATCCTTATGTAATTCCTGAGTTGGGGTCCCCAAACTGGGCATATGAATGGGGGCCCTGTTATGTATTGGGTGCTGTCTGAGGAGCATGAGTTCTCTGTCACAGAGGTAGGTGGCTGAGTTTCCCCACTCAGAGAGATGCTTCAGGAGTTGTAAGCACTGGGACCTGTCCTGAATGAGGCTGCTAAAATCCCTGGTGCTGCAAAGCTCAGCTTGGTAGCAATAAGAGAAGGGGCACCAACATTTCTTCTAGATAATCTTCACCCTTGTCTCATGATTTGAATTCCTGTATCTCGGTTTTGGATCCCTAAAAGTCAACTTCAACACAGTAATTTGTGTGTAAATAGTTTATTGTAGGTGATTCTAGGAAACTGTAGTCCAAAAATAAAATTCTAAGGCTCCCCAGCCCCCGCAACCATCTGAGTAGACTTCCTTCTTGGCCAGGGCTCTCTTAAAATTCAACTTGAGAGATTGGTTCAGGCCAGAATGGGAAGTGGCGGTCAGACATGCTTCATCATACCTCTTTGGCATTAACATCAACACAGACCTTAAGTCTGATAAGAAGCATTTACAATCCATTCTCTCTGAAACTTGCTACTTGGAGGCTTCATCTGCCTGATAAAACTTTGGTCTCTACAACCTCTTATCACAATCCAGACATTTCCTATTAATCCCAGGTCTTTAGATAAACTCAACCAATTGTCAACCAAAAAATTTTTAAATCTACCTATAAACTAGAAGCCCCTCACTCCCACTGACCCCACTGCCTCTTGCTTTGAGTTGTCCCGCCTTCCTGGATAGAACCAATGTATTTTTTAAATGTATTTGATTGAAGTCCCATGTCTCCCTAAAATGTATAAGCCAAGCTGCACTGCAACCACCTTTCACATGTTCTTGGGACCTCCTGAGGGCTGTGTCACAGGCCATGGTCACTCATATTTGGCTCAGAATCAATCTCGTTAACTATTTTACAGAGTTTAACTCTTTTTGTTGGCAAAACATGGGTAGGAGGTAAATCAGGGAAGGAAGGAAGCCAATACAGAATGTGCCATCAAGACAGTTACCACTATGGGCAATTGCAGCTTACTGCAGCTGGATAATGTTAGGGGTAGAAGGTTCTGAGTTACTGGCGGTGAATCCATATGGGTCTGCAGCAACCTCAATTCTTGCCTCCTTAGAAGAAAGAATTTGACTGAGGGACATAAGGCAGAAGGAGAGACCAAGGCAAGTTTCAGAACAGGAGCAGAATTTTATTAAAAAGCTTTAGAGCAGGAGAGAAAGGAAAATACGCTTGGAAGAGACCCAAGTGGACAACTTGAAGGACAAGTGCAGCCTTTAACCTTAATCCTAAGATTTTATATGCTGACCTACCTCCAGCATCCTGCACCCCTTTCCCATGATTCTTCCCTTAGGGTGGCTGCCAGCTCACATGCGCAGTGCTCTCCTTCCTGCTTGGGAAGTGGGCATGAGCAGTATGTTTAGGAAGTTGTACGCATGCCCATCTGAGGCTTTCTTCCTTTTTCTGGTGGAGTGCCCCTAGAAGGTCATACTCTGCTGTTTTGTCTCTTAATGTGCATGCTGGGTTCACTCGGCCAATTCCTGAGATTTTATTGGAAGCCAATTACCAATCTCAAGTATCTTTATCTGTTGGGCAAGTTGCCAGTGATAATTTGCTGCCAATTATCATTTTTAGAGAGGCAATGTGATAACTGCCAAACCATCACCTGATGATTTCTGGTGGGTGGAGGGGAGAGCCCTCTTGTGCCCCATTCATGCCTGTCTAACTACCTGTCACAATAACTCCAAGAGACAGCATAGCATACTCTTTGGAGCTATGCCAAATGAGTCATGAAGAAACTGGAGTAATCATGCCTAAACTCACTGTCTATCACTGATTAAGAACTGCTTTTGCAGCATTAACTCTTTTGCATTTCTGGCTTGTTCTCCACACCCTCCACATTCATGGCCAGAAAGTCAAAGTCGTCTTCAGGGTTGCTGGGATTTTCAGCAAGTGGTGTCCAGTGTGTTGGCATGACTGCCTAGGAGATATTGGTAGGGAACCAACAGTATCTATACAGTTCACTCCTTGTCTTGCTCAGATCCACTTGTGCTCTGTGTTAAATCCATACAGATCACTAGTTTTTGTTGTTGTTGCTGCTATTGTTGTTGTTTTTGACAACAAGAGGGTTACTGGGACAAGTTATGCTTGCTATAGTTGGTTCCGTGTCTGCAATTCATATTTATTATCTCCTCTATCTACCTTCTATACTACTTATTCTTGATTCTCCTCACCTTCAGCTAACATTTTTTTCTACTGCTCTAGATTTCTTTTCCAGGGAGGTAACCTAGACCTTCATCACCGAGGGGTATAAGCCCCTGGTTAGTCTGCTCTTGTCAGGCTGTAATTGCTACAGTTGCCTATTTATAATAATCACTGACATTAAAGTGCTGAAAGTCATCCCAGTGAATTCCCTGAGTTGTAGACGTATTTCCCCAGTTCTGCTGTGGGGTTAACTTCATGATAATCAGGATCAACTGTCCCTGACACAGTAGTAACTCCGTTTTTGGCCTCCAGGACTGCCATGAAGATCCCCAAATTATGAGGTAGTATATATTACCTTGGGTTTGGTAAAAACCTTTCTGTTTCCCTTGTAGAAGCAGCATCCTCCCTTTTCCCCGTCAAAGGGAACCAGAATCCCTGGTCCAGCAGAACCTATAGTTATAAGAACAGGAAGCACAAAAGTGGGTTACTAAAAGTGGTGGTTGATGGGCTGATAGTCCTACTTCCACCCCTTGGTACCCAGGTCCATGTATTTTATGTAACAGGGACACAACGCTATCTTGAAGAATAACTTTTCAGCCCCTCAGTGTGCTGTCCATATGCTGGTGCTTTAGCTGGGCCCTTAAGTGGTCATTCCAAAGTTCTATCAGGCTAGTGGTTCATGGCTAATGCTATATGATGAAGCTATATGCTATATGACATGACTACTGTCACATGCCCTTGATATAAAGTGGGTCTGTTGATGCAAGGGATGTGAAATCCCTTGATGATCAGAATGATCAATGAGACACTCTGAACCCTCAGTTTATGCAACTATGTGTGGCACTTTAGAGGAGACCACAAATTCATACCCAGAATATGTATTAATAAAAAAAAAAATTCCTGATACCTCCAGGGTGGAAGTGGTCCTACGTAATCAACTTGCCAACTAGTGTGTGGTTGGTTCCTTTGAGGGATGATTCCACATTGAAGGCTCAGTGTTGTATTTACTGCTGACAGGGTGGACATTTGGCAATGAGACAGCCAGGTGGGAAGGGGTCCCTGGAGAAATTCCAAGCGGCCTGTGCACTGGGGTGGAGTCACAGAAGTTGGCATCCTTTGCAGTGGGGAGGGGCCAGTCCTCCTCTTTCTGTGTGGAAGCTGGAATTGGAACTGCTAGGTGGGAAGTGCTCTAGCAGGGACTCTGGCCTTGTGAGAGTCCCTGTTTTCCCCTTTTCTTCCTCTTCACCTAATAAAACCGTGTCTTACTCACCATTCAAATTGTCTGTGAGCCTGAATTTTCGTGGCCATGGGACAAAGAACCCTGTCTTTGAACTAAGGAAAAGTCCTGCAACAGCAGCAGAAGTAGCTAAATCTGTCTTGGTGGGAGAAAACCCATGCTTCTGGGCTTATAAAGAAACTCAATTCTGTCACCTCAGCTAATCTGTTCATGGGTCTATTGTTCGAGAAATTGACAAGGACACACATTCTCTGGCTGGCTGGCTGATATGCTTTGGACGGACCACCTTGTCCACATGGTTGTTCAATGCTTCCTCTGTAATGGGTGTTTTCTTGTGAGTATTGATATAAGAAACAATGATCAAAACAGTTTTGGCCAAAATTCACTGTTCCTTCAGTTCAGAATCA